AAAGCCGCGATTATTTTAATCGCGCCTTCATTTCCCACTTCCGATCTGGCTAATCTACATGCCTCCATCGAAGGAGGCATGTAGTCTAGACACACCCAAAGATGATGAGGGAGAGGGATGTGCGGCTGTACATGGGTTACCTGAAGGTGTGACCTGATAGTGACAGGACAGTAGGAATAGGGACTGAATTGTGATCAGGATATGGCCTGCTGGATCATTCTTGTTGGTGATGCCATAAAGCTGGGAAGATCTTATTATGACATCTGGCTCCTGGAGAGTTTGAGGCAGTCATGCCACTGAAACGAGCATAAGACTCTCACTAGGGCTGTGTCTAGATTACATCCCTCTTTCGACAGAGGGAGGTAAATTAGACACTTGGAAACTGCAAATCAAGCGGGGATTTAAATATCCTGTGCTTCATTTGCATAGTTGCATCATGGTGCTCTTTCGAAAAAGCACCATTTCGAAAGTAAAACTTTGGTCTAGATGTGGTTCTGTCGAAATGGCGGGCTTTTTCAAAAGATCCTATACGCCTCATTTTTCGAAAGAGCACCATGACACGTTATGCAAATGAAGCGCAGGATATTTAAATCCCCGCTTCATTTGCAATTTCAAAGTGTCTAATTTGCATCCCTCTGTTGAAAGAGGGATGTGGTCTAGACATAACCTAGGATAGAGATGCACAGTGAGTCACCATTTTAATGTACTGTGATGGAAGGCCGTAATGTCCTGCTCAGCTGGGGCACAAGGAAGGAATTTAATCACCTGACAGATCATCCTGAGCAACAAAGGAGCTAGCAAAGCACATGTAAAGGCTTCTCCCAGCCCCAATCTTGCTTGGTCTTAACCCCTGCATGACTAGCTTGTGGTGAGATGAAGTGCCAGTGCCAGGCCATGGCTGAGCACTGCCATAAACAGGCAGTCTGTGGTTGCTCTTGGAGACCATGGCTTCTAACAAGCACAGGTAGCAAGTTTGAGGTCTAGGGAAGCTGGGGAGGGAACCTGAGCCCAGAGTCTCCAAGAGGCTGATGGGGGGAACTGGGAGATGGAAAGGAATCTGGATGGAAAGGAATCCAGGTGACTTCCAGTCTGGCCAGGTGCAGGGCCTCAGAGGGAAAAGGAGGATCAGGGTGCCAGGGCCCTGGGTAGAGGAAAAGGTGGAGCAGTGGATGGGACTGGAGTTCGTCTACTACTATGAGGGGCTCCCAAATTGTGTGAGACCTCTGAGCACAGGCCCATTGGCCCATGCAGTAATCCACCATTGCAATTACATAAAGAACATGGATGCTAGAGACTAAATGTAGTCTGAAATACAGTACTGTACCATAGTTTTTCTGGATGTGCAATTTAATGTAGGGGCTCTCTGTA